AGATAGGATACGAAATGAGCATATACGTGAAAAGGTTGGAGTAGCTCCAGTAGAAGATAAGATTAGAGAAAGTCGCCTTGTATGGTTTGGTCACATAAAACGGCGGCCTTGCGATGACCCGGTTAGGAGAGTAGAGGCATTAGATTTGAATATAATGCAGCAATATGATGAATATGTGATTAAAAAAACAATGAGCTTCTAATTAAATGCAAACTATTGGACACAAGGCTCATGACAAAAAGAGAACTCGCAAGTGTGGTTTGATGGAAAGTAGCATGATGAACAATCAATAGCATGCTACAACATCCCTACAAGTGGATTCGATCAATTAGCAAATAAAGGCTACCACCCCCCTACAAATGTTGAAGATTAATGAACAATGAACATGAATATCATTTGAGTTTGGATATAGTAAAAGATGTATAAGCGGAGAGATGCTTAATTTGAATGATAATACAAGGTTCCAATGAGGTGTTAGAGGAACAACATAAGTGTTAAATTAAGAAAATGTGGTTCACCCCAATTTCATAAAAGCAAGCAAGGACTCATAATGCAATGATTCATCTACAAACAAACCATGTTGGAGGACCCTCATGAATATAGTCTATCCACAAGCAAAGGTTAATTGGAGAGTGCAACGATATGATTGCAATCAAAGCAAAAAAATTTCAATGAGATATCACTGGATCATCACATTGACTAGAATACAAATATTATCAAACAAACTTGCTATACAAGATTTGAATTGTCTTCACATGACAACGAAAGATTAATGAAGTTGCGAACACAACGAGCTCACAAGCAATGCACAATAAGGGAAGAAATGTGGTCTAATCATAGATGGATCATGAAGTGACTTATCAATGACTTGATTCGTCAAGGTGTATTTAAGAAGTTATTCATAAGTATACATCATGCCACATGCAACGAGTATTATGACTTCTCTCCAATAAAAGACAATTAACTCGTAGATGAATACAGTAGTTATCTACGAATGCCGAAAGTCAAAATTTCAAGAATCTATTTAAGTTGATTGCAAGAAAAGATCAACGACACAAGTCCACCATGTTGACCACAAGAAAATATAGAAGAGTTTCACTTATGGGTGATGACGATTAATGTGCAGTGGTACAGTTGATAGCCACTCAGTATTAGTCAAATGCATCAGCTTCTACAAGCAATGATAGAAGATCTGCAATACATACAAGTCCTCCATGAATACAAATGTGAGCACCATATACCATTTGTAGGTAGATACAGAAAGACTTCAAAAACTGCAGTATCATGTAGTCAATTTCATCCTGTAAATGAATACATCAACTACCTACATGCAGCAATAGCAGATGTGCTGAAAAGATTAAATACCACAATAAAATGCATGAAGAATACGACAAGTGCAAGCTCCTACGACCCAAAGCAGGATATTAGTTAGTGCACTATAATCCATCTATATAAAGAGACAAGTAGTGCACAACAGTCTACCTGTATAAAGCAGTGGATAACTCTATTCAGAATCTGTAACGCCATGCCACCGGATCCGCAACAATCATACAAGCAGACAAAAGGCGTTTTCAAACAATTCAAAAATATCCCCACAAATACATTGTAATATGTATGCACATAGGTACACTAAATAGGGGTATACAATCAAAATCCCGCATGGACCCCAACGAGCGTGTTGTAAGAATAAACGTGACGTCTAGGGATGCTGCGCAGGTCAACAAATTTGAACCCGATCCTCCTAAGTAAATAGGAGTCGACAAGGTTCAACCGATAATTATAAAATGCTCCCAAACACCCGCATGGATCCCGACGAGCGTGTTATGGGTACACACGTAACGTCTAGGAATTTTGCGCGGGTCAATAAGTTAATTCAAGTTCGAACCTGATCCTTCTATACAAATCACTAGGAGTTGACAAGGTTCGAACCATTAAACAAATATACGATTGTGGTGACCCGTATATTATTTTAATACATTCATATTACGCCTTCAAGACTTATAACAATGAGAATTAAATAATAAAGGCATAAAGCCTATAAAACCCGATCCTCTGCCGACAGCTCGATAGAGTTGACAAGGTTTATCCACAAAATTCAAATATTTTCAAATGAAAATGACCCTATTCACCTCGACGATGGCCGTGTTGAATATTTATCTCAACCGGAGGGCTTCACAAACACTTTCAAAGGCCTTCCAAACTCCACTAAAACTCCACAAAAAATCCAAATTTCCAAAATTCAAAATATTTAAAATTGAAATAAATCCATCAATATTTAAAGTAAAATTCATCCACCTTCCGCAATAGTTTGCTAGGGTGGACAAATTCAAATTTAATTCAGCTCACATAGAGCTAATGCCTAATCGAAAATATCACTAGAATTCATTCTCAAATAATCTCCTGCCAATAAGAACATGGTACGTGTCTTCTAACCGGCTATTTTACCACCAAATGACACCGCAGGATAAACGGTTATGACCCGGGGCCCTTTGAACCGAGTGGTTTTGCCGTCAAATGACACCACAAAATACTGCTTATGGCCAGAGCCAATAAGTTCCTTAGTGGCATCAAATCCTTGAGATATAAATGAATAGGATATGATTGATAAGGCACAAAGCCCTATATTAGCTAAGGTGGATTCAAATTTATCCCCTCAGACAAATACACACCCCAGGTCTACAAGGTACCCTTGGACGAAGTAACTCATGGCTGCCGACAAGGATCCTTCTGTCAGGTTGGGTCGACTACCTCCTCTGACTAAGTAGACCAGGGTCCACGATGGTCCGAGACGACGGAACCATGGGATCTTGATCGGGTCTATCATCCATTCCCCCACCATCCGTTTTAACTGCAAGATAGTGCGATTTTCAATTTTAAATATTAAATTTCCAAATCTTGCAATCTTTCAAATTCCCAAATTCTCCAACCATTCCAAATATCTATGCTGCTACTATATGTCATATACTATGTATCTTCTACGTATCTAATTGATGACTAGCCTTAATCGAAAGTTCTCTCTCGTGATCGAGAGGGGTAATTAACTATAGGGGCTTGCGCCTATAGGAAACCAAAACTCAAACTATAAAGTCCTCACAAAATGAGGGCGAAATCTTTGGGTAGTGTCTTATCTACAAACTCATCTGCCTTTCCAAAATTTACCCCGGAACTTATTCCGTTAAAACTTTCTCGTCAAAGAAAAGCAACAGTCGGGCGGAGGCCGGGGCCAAATTTTTGGAGCCCGCAACTTCCAACATTGCCCTTGGTTTCACTTGCACTCCTTTTGAAAAATAGCTTCAGAGCTTCTTCAGCTCAATTCCTTGGAGTGTTTTTAACTGGAAGATTGTTTAAAGCTTTCATCTAAGTTTCTTTTCTTTTAACGTTATTTTCAAATAACCCAGTTTTATTAACTTATATTAGACGAATGTTTTTGGTTTCGCATTATATTATTTGCAGTGTTCTCCACCGAAAAATATCATTAAGGTTTCTTACATGAGTTTACCTAGCAAGCACTTATTTCATAGCTCTTTTAATTATTGTTTTCAGGTTTTTAAGCCTTGTAAAGGAAGCATTGCAAGAGTAAATTTTAATCCAAGAAAACGGTAGTGAGTTTACTCTTGATTCTCTGGACAAGGAAGTTGCGAGTGTAGTGTTCATAATACAGTTTATACTATTTTTATTGAAAATTTTCAGAGAAAGCGAGCTTGGGAGTGAATAAAATGATTATAACCATGGTTGATGTCTATAGTCTGAACCATTATAAATTTTTATTTTCTTCACTTGATTATTTTTCTCTCTCCTATGATGATCTTAAGCTTCATACTCATTGTTCTCACTTTTAGGTGCATCGTAATTTCATTGCAAATTCTCAAGCTTTCTACAACAAACTTAACACCCAACACTGCCCATATTTTGGGTATGCCTAAAGGCCAACAAGTTCATATAAGCTTGGTTGATAAGGTGAACCACTATAATTTTAAAGCACTTGGTTTGATCGATTTTTCCTCTTCACCTATCAATTTTAAGCATTATACTCATTGTTCTTGCTTTTGGGTGAGTTGTGATTACGTTGCAAATTATCACCAAGTTTTCCAAAAATCTATTTTAACACCCAATACATGTAACACAACTCCCTTCATCCAGGGATACATAAGGAGCAATAAGTGGCATTAGAGCTCAAATCTCTAAGATTATAAGCTCAATATCCTTGAGAGGATCCATTGCACACCCCACTGGGGATTCCTATAGTATGGATCATTCCGTCAACAGCCCTTTATTCCATGGATTGCATTTTAATTATTCAAAAAATCATTTGTCACCTTACGCTCAAGGTATTATTAATATGGAATAAAGAGAGGTTGTAAGAAAATTTATGCAATCACAAGGAAATTAGTCAAGAGAAAAGTGGTAACACGAATATTCTAATTTAATGATCAATGAAAAGAAAGAAAAATAACTAAATGGCAGAGCCCTGAAGCCACATTCATCAAGTTCACCATGAATCTCAAAGTTGGGGACCTTCAAGTAATCCGAATTTTTAAATTCTTGCTACATAGCAAGAAATAGCCTTTATAGCCCAAGTAACCTAAGATGTCAACGAATGCATATACAATGAACTATTATTTTAAATAAAATAATAAAATTGCATTCAGTAATTAATGCATTAACAATTAATTTAAGAACATAAATGAACCTCAATAATTGAAATATTCTTAGGGAATCAGCATAAGAAAAAATTAAGGAGGTCTGAAATTAACAAAGAATACAAAAGCAGTCAGTTTCAAGCTTTGCATGATTAACCCTTTTAGAGTGAGACAGTAAAACTTTCTTCCATATCACTACAAATAAAGAAGTAACAGCATCGCAGATTGTGTAAACATTAGTAATGACATGTTGACTTCTAAAGCAAAAAAACCAAATGAGAAACAAGATGAAATAAGTAATTTTCCAAGACTAAAAAATTTATTTAAAAACAACCTAATTAGCATCAGAAAGATACTCACAAGACCACAGGAACAACAGTCAAAAACTTCCTGTTCCGTGTAAGTTGCTTGCCATTATCAATTTGCTCCCACCATGTCAAATTATTGTATATACCCTGGTCTTCAGCAAAAGGAGTTCCCTTCCTCCAATGGAAAAACTGATAAGTAATCTAAAAAAACAAAGAGAGAATAAGACAAACTAAATAATGGATACATCAAAGAAGTCCGTTAGCAAGCAGAGTAGAATATAAGTTTTCAAAAGTAATGATGCACACAGTTCACTATAATGCAATCAAATTGCAAAAAAATCAAATATGTGGTTAGGAACAAGCATTGATTGCTGAAATTTACAACAAAAACCTACTAGAAACAATATAATTCCCCTCATGCAAACCATTTATTTGATGCATAAGCTGGTCATCATCATCATTAGCAATCTCCCAACTATTAGGTGTTAATTCTATGAACCCTCTTGATTTATTCACATAGATGGGGGTGAAACTACCCGAGCTTAAGTGAGTTGGTTGTTTGTTCATGTTCATTTTACTATTAAGTGTTAGTTCTATGAACATGATTTGATCAGGAGGTTGAAAATTGACTAATGAAAATCAAGACAATGATGTTGAAGAAGTTGAAGATGTAATAGAAAGAAAGAAAAGGAAGAACGCATCCAAAGTTTGGGATGAGTTCATAGAGATTATTCTTCATGATGGGCAAAAGAAAGGGAGAGTGTTCTCATTGTAAAAAACTAGTTATAGGAATTACTCGTTCAACCACTCAATTCAAAAAACACTTGGAACACTGTGATGGTAGGATTTGTGCCTTAAAAAAACAAAAAATATTGCATTTTCAACCAACAGATATAGGAGAAATTATTATGTGCGGACGCCGAACGCCATCCAGAGACCAACCAGAATGCGCCACGTCACCCCCGCTTTGTACCGCCGCTCGGCACCATGCTCGGTACTGCTGACGTGGCGCATTCTGGTTGGTCTCCGGAAGGTGAACTGTGTTTGGCGTCCACACAGAATAATTCCCCTATATATAGACAACTCATTTGCCCAGAGCTGTTAATATGGAGGAATGTTAACCACATTCGAGTATGATCATAAAAAAGTTAGAAAAATGATAGATCATTATATACTAATTAATGAGAAACCATCCGACCCCACGTAGTGGAACAAAGGCTTGATGTTGTTGTTATTGTTGTTGAAGAAGAATTTGGATTCAATTTTCTTTTGAAGCCTATCTCCTTCTTTTATAAAGTACTCACGAGCTACAATATACAACTATGTAATGCAAGTGTAAGAGAAGGAGAAGAGAAAGCTAACTAATGTTTTGAAGAGTATTAGCAAAAAAAGTTTTACAACAAATATATGGAAATCAAAGAATCATAGAATATAATAAATGTCTATGGCATCTCATTTCGTTGATTCAAACTAGAGGTTATAGAAGAGTGTTTTAAGTTTTCTATATTTATCACTACCACATACAACTTCTGAGATAGTTAATACATTTTACAAGACTCTTTGTAATTAGGGTGTTGAGGATAAAGTCATTATTATCTCAGTTGATAATGCATCAAACAACGATAGGGCAATGAAGCTTCTAAAAGATAGTTTTAGAGTGAAGAAGTTATTTTTCAGAGAAAGGTCATTTTATGCTTGTTGTTGTGCTCACATTCACATACTAAACTTAATGGTGAAAGATGGTGTGAAGAGCATTGAGTATATCATTGATAAGATTAGAGACACAATTAGCTTTGTTAATGCTTCTGAAGATAGATTAGTAAGATTTGTTGAAGTGATTCAACCATTATAATTTCCTATAAGAAAGCTAGTAATGGATTGCTTGACACGTCGGAACTCCATATACTCAATGTTGACTATGACATTACAATTAAAATAAGCTTTTTCTTTCATATAGTGAAAAAGAAGTTGTATATGTAAATTGTTCAACAGTGAATGAGTAGGAAAATATTTAAAAAATTTGTGATATTTTGAATTCTTTGATGAATCGACTAATGTCATTTCAGGAATTGAATATCCAATAGAAAATTTATTTCTTTCACAAATTTGTACCATAAAAACGTGTTGGATGAGGGTGTAGTTTCAAGTGAGAACTTCATTTTGGAGATGACCAAAAAATGGAAGATAAATTTGACAAATATTAGGATGAATGCAACCTTCAGAGTCCACATTTAGTACCGAAGAAAGAGTAGTTGATACACATAAGTCAAAATTAGGAGTTATGTGGTTCTAAATAGGTTCTTCTAAATAGGTTCGCTGTCACTATGGTTTGAAGGGAAGGGTTAAGGTAATTACATAGATTACATTTTGCTTTTACTACCAAACACTAACATATGAACATGTAATCCTCTTTTATTTTGTAGGAAGAAGAAGAGGACAAGGAGATAGAGATTCCGTTATCAATTATATGAGCACTTGGATGTTAGAAATTTAATTTAAGGTAAAATATTGTTTATGGTAAGAGAAAATACAATAGAAGGTATTTAACTTTGCTGGGGATAACATAAAGTTTGGACTTCCTATGGCTTTTACAACAACGGTAATGGATAGCTGATTATTAGATCAATGAGTGCAGTGAACCAGTTGGATGCTGCTCTCGATTTTCTCAAGTGGATAACTGATTATTTGATCAATGCTCATCCTTCTGACAGCCTTTTGTATATTCAGGTAAATCTGAAATTATGTAGGATTTTTCTATATATATATATATAGTGATGACATTGATTTTGTCCAGTAAAATCTTCTTGTTGATAATTTCTTGATCAGAATTTCATAAGGCAGCTTTATCATTAGTTTTTTTTTAGTTGACAAATATTGCTTTGTTTAGCTACAACTTTTTTGCTGAATTTAAAAAATTGTTCTTATCAGACATTATTTTTTTATTACTTAATCTACTAGAGTGTGCTGGAAGAAAACTGGTCTCATGTTTTTAAATACAAAAAATTTAAAAAAATTTATATTTCACACAACAATTTTAAAGATTGCTGAAGTCGCCTCAAAAGGACTCTAAGATGCACAGGAATATGCATGTGTTACTACATATTGTATATTTGTATTGTTGCCTTTTTATCTGTAATCTAGATTTGGTTTGGGCAATAATCACCATGCTACTTTCCATAATGCAGCTCAAAACTTTCAATTCCAGAAGCTGTAGTTTATTAGTTTTAAGTTTACCCTTGAACTCACCCCCTAAAATGATTTATTTTTATGTAAATTCATAATCAAGCTTCTGTTACTTTTTTTCTGACTTCAAAGTTTACGCTGCTCTTCCAAAGTTATGCTGAAATTTTGCGTAATTAGATTTACAGTATTATTTGCCTCAAAACTGAATTTGGCATCCTATAGATTTACTCATATAAAGTTGCTCATGTTTTCTTCAAAGTTAACTTACTGTTTTAAAATTGAGTAATTTTTAAAGTTGGCTTCCTATGAATTTTCACCAACGCTATGCTAAAATTTATCAAAGCATACTTGTTGTAATTATTTACTACCAACCACGGTTTTTATATCAATTATTGCATCATCTCTAAATTATCTTTAACCTTTTAAACCAGTTAACTTCAATAAACCGCTTTCTTTGATCTTAATTTTTCCGGTTTTCTTGGAAGTTCAATGATTCTAGTGAGAAAAGATTTTGAAGATTGTGATATATGAAATATTGCATAGATGAGCATATGAAGAGTTTTGTCATTTATTAAAGTTTCGTTGTGGCTTTACTATATAACTCTTCAAAGTTGTAATATTTTTAATTACATTTATGAAATAGTGTAAAAGTACTTATATACTTGAATGGTGAAATTTTTGTTGGTTTTGATAGAGATTTGAATATCTATGTTATGCTAGTAGTTAAATGTTATAATAGTTGTACTATGATTTTTGAAAAAAAAATGGATGAGAAAGAGTACTGTATTCCAGTTCTCATATATTTAACTTTCATTTTAAAATTCATCTTGATATTTATTTACACTATTTAAAGTGAAAGTCAAACTATATAATTTATTCTAAATTACAAGTAAAATTAAAAAAAAAAACTTAAATTTTTAATTTAAAACAAAAATTTGAGCTCCATAAACGAGTCGAGTTCGAGCTTTTTAATCAAGTCGAACTCGATCTTTTTAAACGAGCTAAAGTAATCGAGTCGAGCTCAAGCTTGATTTTTACATAGCAAGTCGAGTTCAGCTCATTAAATGAGCTCAAGTCGAGCTCGAACTCCAGTTCGAGCTCAGGATGAGCTAAACGAGCTCAGCTTGATAATATTCCTACTCGACTCAACTCTTTTACACCCCTGGTTCTAGATGAAGTTAATCACTTCTTGTAAGCATAATTGAATCCATATCACACAGCAGTACAGCACAAACCCAGATAAAATCAAATCGGATTATGCTCTAGTCTCAGCGGTAACTGCACTTCCTAAAAAGTCCTTTTAGACCCATATATCATCCAATTTGTGATCCATCATGCGACTCCAAACCAACAAAAAGTTTTGTAAACCATAGAAATTCTTGCATGCAAAAGATTTCACTGGGAAAATATAAATAAACACCTGCAGAGCGTGTTAAATGAAAAATATGAGCAAATTATCGCCAACCTGTGCTCTTGACAAGTGAATAGAAGAAACTGCGATGAAATCAGTTGGAATAATCTCATAAAAGTAGAAAAGAAAATTAAAACCCTGAAGGATTTCAAAAGAGAAACATTTAACAATTCACAAAACATATATGCAAATTAAATCATCAATATAGACACATAATTACTTGTCTTGGTAGGAACAGCGAAGCAAACCATTTTTTTTTAGGTCATCCATAGGTAAAATTATGAATCTTCCTGAAATTTTAAGTTTTATTCGCCTCAGGTGCAGAAACAAAGAAACATAAAGAATAAAATAAAGATAATAAAGGACCCCAACAAGACCAAATCGACCGAGTTTCACAACTACAAGCATCTAGAATCACAACCCTCAATCAAAGGAAGCGCGGAGAAGTCTCCAATAAATACCAGGACAAGAAAAAAAGAAACTTAGCGCAACCGTAAAGAACAGAAATCAATCGAAACATACCGCAAAGTGGACCAGATTAACGATGGTCCAGGCAGTACCAGGGGTGCATCCGAAGACGGAAAGGACGAGGAGCCAGGAGAAGAATAAGATGAGGATGTAGGTCGTCCACACTCCAGGGTACATGAACCACTCTGTGTTCTTGTTCAGATCCGGCGGCGGCGTCGTCTCCACATACAGCTTCGCCATCTCTTACCCTCTTCTTCAACCTGGAGCTCGGATCTCACAAAGCGAGCGCAGAAGCAAGAGATAATTTGATTAAATACCAATTCCGAGGTGGACGACGCCAACAAAGAAATTTTAAGAAAGGAGATGCAGATGGAGACGTGCGTTCGGGAAGCAGCGGGAAAGATCGACGGCGCTGAAGGTCAATGGATGTATGGAGTTTTTAATTCCCCTTTGGGTTTTATTGAGCCGGCGGCGAGAGTTGAATGGCATCTCTATTTTTTATTTTTTTATTTTTTTTATTTTGTAAATATCTCTAAATTGCACATCGAAAGTGCAAATGTAATTTCCCCAAAAAAAAAAAAAAAATGCAAATGTAGATAAGTTTTTTTTTTTTCAAGTCGGTTAACATAAATGTATACATTTATAGCAGTGGAAAATTTTAAATTCAACACTTCTTAATTGATAGTTAAAGCATCTTATTAACAAATCAAAATAAGCTGTGTATAGATAACAAAACTCAAAACTAGCCAGCAACAAAAAAATTTTAAATATCTCATTGGGTTTATCTCAAGCCTGGAGAGTTCGATTCGCCTAATTCAATAGTGAGACGATCCTCCTAATTCAATAGTAAGCCAATTCAAAGGCTGATGCAATCAACCAGAAGAATCAATTTCGCATCCAATCGATATACGAGTTGTCGGTTCGACCTATGAACTAGCAAATTGGTGCCAATGTTGTGGAACCACACGGTTTAATTTTAAATCTTTTAATTGTCATTCATCTTTGATCCAATAGCTAAAATTATAAAATTTAATAATATATTAATTTAATACACAAATAATCTAATACCTAAATATCTCAAAATCCTATCCTACATTTCTCCCATCAACAAAACATGTGTTTCTAACTCTCTCTCCATTGATGATGATGATTTGTAGAAAGTTTAACCTTCTTGCATTTAACTCTCAGCCTTCTTTGCATGTTGGTTTTCTCTTCCTCTTCCTTGATGGTGATTTGCCCGACATTTAGTTTCTCCAGCTTGATCTCTTCCATATTAGTTAAAGGATGTAGGATTATCCCCTTGTATAAATTATTCTTTTTTTTTTTTTTTTTTTTTTTTTTTTTTTTTTTTTTTTTTTTTTTTTTGGTATTTATAGTTTTAACTTTATGTTTTTACATCATGAATCTAAGATTTTGGGCATTCAAGTAATTAGTTTTGAGTTCTTAGAATTGTAATTTTTTAAGAGGCTGTTTGGATTGAAGTAAAAGAGGCGTAAAGTATTATAAATGTAGGAGTTTTGAAAACATTAGTGCATGGTCCAAGTAAAGAGAACGCTGAGAAAATTTTGATGCTTTTGGCATTTACTCTCTAGTTCAATTTTAATGTATTTGAAAATCACTATATTTAGCCAATTTTCAAAAATGTTATAAATTACAGTCATAACTGTTGCAAGTAGCCACCACCCACCTGCAACTTTTTATGCTTATGATCAAAATAATGTAAGGAGGAGCAAAAAAATTTGAAGTCATTTTTTAATTTTATGAATTTTTTAAGCAGCTTAAATAACAAATTGGTATCCTAGGATTTTCCTCTCACCAACCTCAAACCAATATAAATTAGATCTATAATTTTTATTATAAAGAGAATTATATGTTACAATGACTATATTAGCTTCAAAATTGTTATTGTAAGTGAATTTGATGTGCAAGTGTTGGTTGAATGATCAAGTGAGATATGATGGAACTATATCATGGAGGTACTCTTACGCTAAAGTTATTTTCCCTTCGAGCAATTAAACGAACATATAGTAAAAAAAATTTCTAAATATGGATCGTACTATATGATATATCAATCGTACATACCTTCCAGAGTACGAATTAGACAGGTCCCTTTTCGTCCCGAAGTTTCATCTAGACAAACTTGAATATTTTCTGAATGGGTTGTACCGTATGATGTTGTCATCGTAGGCACGCTGTCCAAGGTAGGAATTGGACAAGTCCCTTTTCGTCAAGACGAACTTGAAAATTTTCGTAACTGATCGTATCGTACGATGTCATCATCGTACGTACGATATCCATGGTACGAAATTGTGGAGTCCCTCTTCGTCCCGACGAAGGTGGAAAATTTTCTAACTGTTCGTACCAGACGAACTTGTTTCATACCAGATGATCATCGTGTATGAATTGAATTCATACCGATTCATAACAAGTTCGTACGCAATAATTTTTGAACTGTTTGTACATACAAACATACAATCGTATTGAACGATCGTGTATACTCAAAATTGAAAATTTCAATTTTTGGATGGTTTTTCGTCTCTTTAATATAAAATGTCCACTAAAACTAATGTGAAAAAGTCTTGTCTTCATGATTTTTCAAGGGCAATTGAAAGAGGGAGTGTGAGAGAGTGTTTGAGAGAAATTTTTTGTAACTGAAGTGTGAAGGGTTCACAAAGTTACTCAAAGGTAAGGATCTCTTTGTGATTTTGGTTATCACTTTTATTTTTGTCTTTCTAGTTGCTCATGAGAAGATCTTTGAAGAGGATCTGGTACTATGCCGACACTTGGAGAGTGTGAAAGGATGATGGCTCTCTGTCGACACTTTGAGGGTGGGAAAGAACGACAGTTCTCTGCCAACACTTGGAGTGTGAAAGGACGACGATTCTCTACCGACACTTAGAGGGTATGAAAGGATGACGGTTCTCTGCCGCACCAGGGATTGGTGGAAGAGAAGTTTTGTAAAGGCTTCTCCGCCTTACTGTGGGGACAAAAAGATAGACATTTTGATAATAGTGCAATACCTGAAGAGAGAGTCTTCATGGACTGGATGTAGGTTGTGTTTGATCGAATCACTATAAATTCTTCTGTCTTTTAATTTCCGTATTTTATTTATTGCGAGTTATTTACAATGGTTGAAAAGTTTTATTTTGAAACTTAATTAACTTGCTACAAATTTTAAAATTAGTTTTATATTTAAAAATCCAAGAAAATTTTTATATTACCAATTCACCCCCCTCTTAGTTAGCCTTAGGACAATAGCTTAAGTTTAACAACCTATAAAGAATCGATAAGTGGTATCAGATCTTTATTTTAAAATCATAAGTTTAGACTACTTTTCGATAAATGAGAATGGTTACTTTTCAAAATTGAAACACAATTGAAGGATATTCGATCACTAGACCTCCATTATTTGATAATATCCTTATCAATTTTTGGAAAAACACACATGTCTACTTTTCTACAATCACTAGATTATCGCATGTGGATTCTGGTTCAAGAAGGGTATACTAGACCAACTAGATTAGTTAATGGCATTAAAGTTGAAACACCCTTTGCTGAATGGACTGTAGAAGAACATGACTTAGCACAATTAAATAAAAAGTGTTTAAATAGTTTTTTTTATGCACTTAAGTCAGAAGATTACATACGGGTTTCCACTTGCAAAAGTGGAAAGGATATATGGGATAGGCTTTGTATTACTTACGAAGGGACTAATGAAGTAAAGTAATCTAGATTAAATATTTTGTTACAAGACTATAAAAATGTTTTGATGAAACTTAAAGAATCTATTTCTGACTTGTATACAAGATTCACTCAAATAGTCACTTTTTTGCATGCATTAGGTAGGGAACTAATGAATACTAAATTGGTTAATAAATTTCTTCGTTGTTTTCCTACTGCTTATAATGCTAAAATAAATGCAATTATATAGTCTAAAGATTTAAATATTTACTCTATTGATAATCTTCTTGAATCACTAATTGCTTATGAGCAATGAGTGAGTCAAAGAAAGATTGATGTAGGTGAACAACGAAAAGAGAAGAACATTGCACTAAAAGTAGAGGACTCGGAGAGTGATCAGTCACAACTTGAGGATGAAGATGACATTGCCTTAATGACTAGGCAATTTAGAAGTTTTCTTAAAAGAAAGCATAGGATACGCCAATAGTGCAATCGAGGTAAGTTTAATAAAAATGTAAAGGTTTCTAGTTATGTGATTTCTATGAATGCAGGAAACCTGGACATATAAAATCGTATTGTCCAAATCTAAAAGCCACTCCTAGCAAGGAGAAAGTAGAAGAGAAAATAAATGAGAAGAAGAGCAAGAAGAGATTTTAGAGATATCTTTGGGCAGACTCAGCTTCAGATTTGTTAGAAATAGAAAAGGAGGAAGAAGTCACCAACTTGTGTTTAATGGCTGATAATCTTGATCAGTCAGATCAAGAAGAGATATGTGACTTCATCTATAATGAATTGTTATAAGTTTCTGAAATAATTTATTATGTATATAGAAAACTTAAGAAAATGCATGCTAGTTTAAACTTAGAAATGCAAGAATTGCAAAAAGAGCATGAAACCTTAGGAAAGTTGACACATTGATAAATAACAACCAAATCATCCTATGCTAAATTGGAAAAATATTTTATAAATTTTAAGGATGAATCTGAGAATAGAGAGCACTATTTAAAATATGATAACATTGTGTTAGAGAATGCAAATTCATTTCTTAGAATAACAGTGAAAGCTCTTGAAGAAAATAAGATACCCCCAACACTTGAAAATTTTAGTAATCCTATTTTAAGGTCAAAGATTTTAAAACTCAGGAAGAGACATATTTACTATAAAATTTTGAGAAACCCATTTTCTGAAGTTAAAAGTTATACATGTTGGATGATTTGTTATATTTCACACACTTGTACTTTAGATAAAAAAATTCATTTAATATGGAGATCTAAGATGCATAAACCTAGTCATATCATACATGCATCTAGTTCTATTTTGCCAAAAGAAAAACCCAAATTTATTTGGGTTCCCAAGTCTAACATTTGATTATTTTGCAGGCACGCTCTCATACAAGGTCTCATAAGAGTATTTGGTACCTAGATAGCGGTTGCTCGAAGCATAAGACTGGAGACACTAAATAATTTATATCAATTGAAGCCAAGAATGGAGGCATGGTTACACTGGTATATAACACCATTAGAAAAGTGGTTGGCATAGGTATGATCGAAAACTTGCAAAAAAAAAATTATAGAGAATGTATTGCTTGTATAAGGCTTAAAACATAATTTATTAAGTATAAACTAGTTTTGTGATAAAGGGTATAGTGTAAAAATTTTTCCCACTAGTTGTATATTAAGCCTAAATAAAAAAGATATTTTATATGGAATTAAGGTAGACAATGTTTATATGCTATATTTGAATTATATTAAAACTCCTAATATTT